TGGAGGCCCCGCGGGCGCTGAGCGGCGGTGGGATGATCGCCGGCTCCTGGCCCCCGCGTAGCCTGGCAAAGCTCGGCCCGTCGCCCCCCCCGTCGGTGCTGCCCACGACGAGCCCCCTCCCTGCCAACGACTCCCAGTGCGGGGAGCAGATCCTCAGCTACGGCAACGTGGAGAAAGTTGTCATCGGCGCCGTCCTCTCCCTCATCACCCTGCTGACCATCGCCGGCAACTGCCTGGTGGTCATCTCTGTCTGCTTCGTGAAGAAGCTGCGGCAGCCCTCCAACTATCTGATCGTCTCGCTGGCCCTGGCCGACCTCTCGGTGGCCCTGGCTGTCATGCCCTTCGTCAGCGTGACCGACCTCATCGGCGGCGGGGGGATCTTCGGGCGCCTCTTCTGCAACGTCTTCATCGCCATGGATGTCATGTGCTGCACGGCCTCCATCATGACTCTCTGCGTGATAAGTATCGACAGGTGAGACCCGCGGCCCGCCCTGTCCCCCAGCCGCTCGCCGCGCTCCGCGGGGACCCAGGGCAGCGGGCAGCGCTGGAGACTTGCGGGTCCTCCGGCGTCTCTTCTGCCTCCTCCGGGAGCTGTAGACAAGCTAAAAGCGGGGACACAGGCGAGAGCAACCCTTGCAGCCTCTCCCTCCCGAAGGGGCTTTCCGGAGCGGTGCGTGCTACCTCCCCCTGTCCCAGCCCAGGTGCCCAGGTGTCCCTCTGGGTAACCTCCCTGATGTCACTTTAGAGTTTAAGTGTCAGAGCAAAGCTGGAGCTAAACACTGTCCCTTTGCTGTGGCTGTTTAAAAATAATGGGGCCGCTTTAAAAATAATGACAGGCGCTTTAAAATTTGCAACGTATGTCTTTAAGCTGCCTTATGCCACAGCTGGATTTGAGCTGAATCTTCCGAAGCTGGTGACAGTGTAACCTCACCGAGTTCAGTCGAGTTTTGCCAGAGCAGAGAAGGGTCAGAATGAACGCTAATTATTCTAGTACAATCCCAGAACAGCTCATTTTCAACAGATAAAACAATTTTTGACAAATAACCTTTTATTTGAAGGAAAAATGTCTTTCAGATATTGGTGGGTGTTTTTGTTGGTGTTTTTTTGTTTGTTTGGTTGGTTGGTTGGTTTTTTGGCTTAAATTTCTTCTGCCTTCTTAAAAACCAACTATACCCACTGTCATACAGCTTCCAAAACAGTCAGGCATTGGGGCAATAAGGAGGTGTATACAGATTGCAGAAGAGGACCTTAGGCATTCCTTTATGATGTAAAGGCCATACCTAAGGTATCACATTTGGCCATGTCTAAGCTCTCCTCTGCAGAGGGAGGCTAAGATTCCTTTATTTCATGCAGGTCCAATTGTAAAATAAGTTTCAGCCTGTAACTTCCCTTTAGCACTATCTAAAACCTTTGCTGAGAATTTTAGCATCAATAGGAAGACACTTCAGTAAAACTCAACACAATTGGCAGAAATTGAAGAACTTCCTAACCAGATGGTAGAACTAGTTTATCCAGTCTGATATCTAACAGCAGCCTTGGCTGTTTACTTCAGAAAGTTTTGGGAAAGAACTCTGCATTAAGTTTCTGCAAAGAAAGTCTTTCAGAAGAGTTTTCCATAGTAACCAGAGGTTGTTTCATGCCGTAGAGAGTCACAGTTTGTATTAATTTCAAAGCTATAATTTCTGCACAAGCATCCCCTGCTCTGTCTGACTTCTCCAATGGCTAGCAGTGATCTGAATTCTGCAAAACATCTTGCAGCAATGAAATCCACTTACAGACTTAAACTGAGTATGAAAGTGTGGACTGTTGTTGAATTTTATTTTATTTTTTTTCTGTTGTTCAAATTTGCTGTCTTTAAACTGAATTCCAGTATTGTAAGAATAGGCTTCTCTACCTTTCCATAATTATTATCTTTTTTTTCTATCCTATTTATTTTTAAGATGGGTGTTTTTATTTTTTCACTCTCTCCAGATAAAGAAATTCCTTTCTTTGATCATTCTTGACGTCCATGTCTGAGCTCTCTACATCCATTTCTAATAACCTTGTAAAGACAAGATAACATAATTGAGCTTTCTTACCCAAGTAAGGATGTGTAACTGATTCACACTCTATCACTGGAGTAATTTAGTTTTACTCTTTTTGTTTCTCAGCTTAGCATTTGAGGTCACTGCTGTGTGCTGAACAGGAGCTTTGACTGATCTGGTCATGGTGATGATTTGGTCTCTTGCTGTCTTCCAATTCTCCCTTCAGTCTCTCCTCTCCCCAAATTACTGACAAGAGGTATAGCTATGTATTCAGAGCAGAATATAAGCTATTATGGATGACTGATTTTCATTAACAGGAATACAAATAGAATGCAAATAGAAGATGAGCCAGGAAATCCTTAGGAAGCCTTTGCTGTGATCCAGAAAGGTCTCTTTTAGAGGGGAAGAGGAGGCCGTTTCTTTGCAAGCAGTACAGATACAGCAGATAAGTTAGATGTTTAAAAATTTGCATTGTGCTAAACCTCTAGATTCCTCCTGAAGCAGACAGAAGAATAAGTTGAAGGTAAATAGCTGAAAGAGTGTTTTTACTATTGATTTAATCTTTTTAAAAAAATAGATTTTTGTGCAAACAGTTAAGCAAGGTTTCTAAGGAGAGGGAATATCTTCTATCAGGCAGAAAAATATGGCTGGTAAAAAAGGCTTTGAGGCCCTTTCAAACAGGATAAAATGAGTAAATTGAAGAATCTTTTTGATTTTTTTTTCCCTTTGCACAAATATGTTCTACTCAGCTCATGCCACTGAAATGTTAGCAGCTAGCAGGCCTATTGCACAAATTTTGCTACACAGCCCTTCAGTGGTGGATGCATTTTTCAGCTGAATTTATTAGTTGGAAAACTCTGAAAGATGCAGATTAGCATGGAGTCTACAAATAGACTGCTTTCATTCTGTTGAAAAACCCTATCTTCTTTTTTTTTTTTTTTCCCCTAGCCAGACACATAAAGTACTTCTCTTATTTTTTATGTTGCTTTCACTCCAGGTTTTAGAAATGTTAAGACTTTACAGTATATGTTAGTATGCTATTATGGGGATCTCTTAACAGAGAGAACAAGAACAGAGTGCACAAGAAAGAAGCTAGTCTGAAAAAGTCATTTTATCATCCACAAATAACTACATTTGTGGAAAGAAGGAGATATTGTCATAATAACAAGATTTGGAATATTATGCTGTTTTTCAGATTGTATCTTTCCTTTTATTTCACAACATGAAAACCTCCATAGATCTTTTATCAGAGTGACCAGAGATGAGCATGTTATTTTTGAAGTATCTCTATGTTATTTAAGCCCCTGCTTTGGAAGAAGGCTGTCTGCATGTAGGTGGGTCTGTCAGAACTAAAACACATGTGACAGAGAGATAAGGGTATTTCTCCCTTTTCAGATTTCAGAAGGATTAAACAGGCAAGACAGCATCATACCCAGACAATCAATATAAGTTTTGCTATACTGGCCAGCCATGGTATGAGGGGTAATTCTGGAGAAAGGTAGGAGTTACAGAGACTTTTGCAGGATCATTGTGCCTCAATTAATGGTAGTCTCCTTTAAGCATTTCTTATTAGTTTATTTTTTTGTTGTTGTTTTTGTGGATTTTTGTTTTTCTTAAGGCTCCACTCTTCTGGTCTCAAATAAATTATACCACACTTAGATTCCTTTGCATTTAAGAGTGAGCAAAGACTAGGAGTGAATTGTGAGGGATGGATACAAACCACATCTTAGTGGGTGAATGAACATACAAAAGTAATTAATTGAATTTAAACTTGTGTTGTTTGCCTGCTGATTCATCATGTTTTTCTGACCCAAGATAGCTACAGAAATCCTGTTTTGGAGAGTATCCACTGGATAACTGCATAAGTAGCAATTTTAAATACAATTTTAAAATAGCTCTTTGGCTTGGAAAGTGATAAAGTAACACAATTACTCAGATACCCTTGATAAATTATAACTCTTTC